GCGTAAGAAGGTGCGCGTTTTGGACACTGTTGCCATCACGGTCTCGGACCCCTTTCACGGCCTGATTGAGCCAAATACTGATATCTATTGTTGCCAGGTTAAGGTTGATGTTTGAGAGAGCAGAGTTAATAAGGACAAACCAACTGGGAGAGAGAAGGGTGAAATGATGAGATGGTTGACAGTCGATTAGAACCCTCAAGTTTGGATACCAACAGCAAGAATTTTACCCTCCAGAGTCTCTGGATTAATGGGTTTCCCTGTGCTCTCCAGCAGCCTCCAAAGTCCATGCACTCCCATGGCCCAATTTAAAACAGCATCATAAGGTTATAGCCAACCAGATCAATAAATGTTGTCTCTTCGTGGTAACAACAATTCCGTCCGCCCGGGAACCAGCTACAAGAACAAACTTTCCGTCCAAATCTTACTTTTTGCCCTGGTTTTGTACTTGTCAGGCTATGGCTAACAAATGTTTTCTCGATATAAACTTAAAACTTACTTATTTTATAGTAAATTGTTGTATATAGTGACGTTAAAAAAGCTTAAGCAATTTCAAAGACGAAACGGACTGTGAATTTTTTTTGCTGGGGGAGGGTGGAAAAAAAAATCTAGCCTGAAAGACTTACCTCAGGGTAGTTTATCGAAACAATACCAACCATATCCGGTAACGTCATCAACAGCTGTAAACCGGAGGACCGTTGTGAAGTGTTTTGTTGTCTCAAATATGATCTGAACATGATGGATAATAACTGATACAACCATTGGAATCATTATTTGGGTGTTATTGACGAAACCGGTCGTTTTTGGCTCGTACTTCCTCAAAGTAAGTCGTCAATTTGCTAGCCGCAAAATTAGCCACGTCGGGAAGCAGCCGTCTTCATCTGATTACCTTATCAGCTGATAAACGTGACTGTTGACTCTAATCACGTGAGTCATAATAATTGTTACTGGGAGCATCATTTTCCTTTTTTCATTTCAGAATAATTCCTGGAACACACTGGACGTGGATACCGTTTTTTTTGCCTCGCCGTCAGCGAAGTAGCCTACCACAAACATCATGTCTACTGCTGTTCGAGGTATGTAGCACTCACACACCCTATAGGTACGTGACGAAAAATCTAATCAAATCTTTGTTTTATCATCAGGACCAATGTTACCGAACACAGCTTGAAAAAGTGAAATACAATTGATTAAATGACATTTTAAAGACTTCAAAAAGTGGGGGAAATGAGCGTTTGTTTTCAAATTCAGAACAACACAATGCCCCGCGATCAGTTTTTAAGAAAAGAAATGCAGCTGAGACCTTGAGCCCTCATATGTCCCCCAAGTGTGGACAGAGAAGACACTGCAAGGAAGTGTACGATTTCACAAGCTGAGTAATAATTCGACAGTGAAAAGAATGAATGACATGACTTAATTATTAATTCGGAATTATTAAAAATTTGTAAAACACATTTTTTCACCAGCGAAAAAATAATCACCCCTTCCTATCCAAACCATCACTCATCCCACCATTGAAACACAGTTATGGCGGGCTTTACATACAACGCTTCAGAAAAATCATGTTTGCATATCCGACAGAGTAGAAGTTACTCAATTATAATCATTGCAGAAACAATTGCATTTCTTTATTTGGGGGCATGTCTTTCAATCCCATCTTCCAGATGCTGCCCGTGTCCCAGTAAGAGTTGCTGGCGATGGCATGGAAACTGAGAAAACGCCCTCCACCCTGGAGGTCAGCACAGACACACTGTCACCAGGTCTATCGGCCACTCCCTACAGCAAGGCAGAAAGCCCCAAACACAGCCCCAAGTTGATCAGTCCTCCTCTCCCTGTCGGCCCGCAACCCCTTGGGGTGCTCCACTTGGGCAAGGTGAGTAGGGAGACCTGCACGGAGGTCGAGGCCATAAGGATTGTCGTCCCTCGTGCTGCCATAAGTAGAAGCAGCCGCATAACCGAGGCGAAAGTAGATGCCGGGCAACAGGTGGAAGAGCGAAGTTCTTCCCCTCAGCCATCGGTGGATGATTGGAGAGGACAGCTGGAGAAGCTTCAGAACTCTGAACGCAGGCTTCTACAAGACAAGGAAGGCCTCTCCAATCAACTGCGTGTGCAGACAGAGGCAAGACCCACATAAAGCGGATACATGTTCCATATGGTTTTACGCAAGCGGTCTAAATGCCATTATTTCATGACGTATGACTAGGTGAACCGTGAGCTCAAGAAACTGCTGGTGGCATCCATGGGCGATGACCTGCAATACCAATTTGAGCGTCTGGCCCGCGAGAAGAATCAGCTGATTCTGGAGAATGAGGCTTTGGGTCGGAGTCTGTCTCACACGGCGGAGCAGCTGGAGCGCATGAGCATCCAGTGTGACGTCTGGAGGAGCAAGTTCCTGGCCAGCAGGTATGATAGACACCATTACTTATTTACCACCCAGTCACGTAGACAATCCACGATCCGATGCAAGTGTTATCCTGTTTGGCGACATGAAGTATTGTACCTGTGCGCCACTCCAAAGTGAGCTTCACCATGAGAAATTTGCCACTTTGAACCTGCGTCGTTGTATCTCCAGAGTGATGGCAGAGGAGCTGACAAATGCCAGAACAGCTCTACAGCGTCAGACCCGAGAGGCGCAGGGCGCCATTCAGGACCTGTTGTTGGAGAGAGTTGAGTTCTCGAGGGAAATGGCGCTCACACACAGGTGACATCTACAGGGAGGAGCCCCCATGGCTCAAAATGATTTCCATGGTTTATGCTATGCACAGGCGCATTATTTGAATATTGATGTCGCAGTCCTCTCCCCCATCTCTTTGAAGAAATGCTCATGCCTGCTTAACCGGACAGTTGAAAATTTTGAAGTGAAGTTTACTCCCCGAGCGCACAGCCGCTCAGCACGGGAGAGGTGGCGGCGGCCAATCACAAACTAGCGGACGCCATCAACGCTCACCTGTTGGGCAATACCCGCGGCGGTGTGGTCAAAAGCAGCAGCGCCGCGACGGCCGATCAGCCGTGCAGCACCCCAGCAGAGAAGATGGCCGAGAAGGTGCATATTTCTCCTATTTTCGGATCAAATTCTACTAGATTTGAATGCCAGCATTACTCATGAACTCCCGTGGTTTGCTGACGCGTGTTGTAGGTGCTGAAGATTTTGGACCCCATTTCCTGCGGGGAAAACAAGGCAGAGTCTCCGCTCAGTGACTCACCCGCCTCAAACTTTCTGAGCAGTAAGAAGAGCATTGGCAGGTTTCACCCGTACACTCGCTATGAGAACATCACTTTTAACTGCTGTGAACGCTGCCGCGGAGACATCCTCGTGCTCTAGACCGGCGTCACCATCGCAACCAATCACGTCAGCAAGTCATCACCATTGTATCAGACGTTGGGCCGCGCCATCTTTTTCCAACCAGGGAGCTTTAAGTTTTTAGCAAATGATTTGCAAAGCAGTTAGCAGGTTTATTTTAAATGGTTTCCAACAAATGCTGTCCACAGAAATGAGCCTTTCCCAACCTTCAGGAATCTAAAAGTCTCCGTTTTCAGTCCTATGTCAGTGTTACACATTTTTTTTTGTACTGGATTTTGCAGGAATTTCTCGCTATTGATGGCTATCGCCGTCTCTCACATTCTTATAGGAGAATTTGGTGCTTCTTGATTTTTTTTTCCAAAGATGAGTCTTCACATCCCAATTCCTGATTTTAGAATAGCATTATTTATAATAGTCATGCATTTCAGAGCCACCACAAGCCGGTTCAAACTGCTGTATTTCAATGTTGTGCTTAAACCCGATTAAGGACCTTCTGTTAACCTTTATGGTCATGTTTTGGGGTTAATCTTTTTGCATGTTGGGAAGTGATTAAAATGCAGGTATATTTTTGAAGCTGTTACAGAAAATTTGAGTTGACATGCAGAGGAAAGTTGAACTTGTATTTCGATTTTCTTTATTGTTCTTATTTTTTGTTGGGGGCATAACTTTTTATTGTAATTCATGAGTGTGTTTATTTTTCTTTCAATATGCAGGACAATGTTGTCATATTTTTTGCTAATTTAATAAAGAACAAAACAGGTACTACAGCAAAACACCAATATCCCACAACGACAGTATTTCATTATTTAATTCTCGCAAATGCAGATGGATACAATGTGTCCATTTAGTTACGTCATCAATCATCATCCCACCACGCCCTGCTTTTGCTCTCACGTCTTCCTTCCATGCTACTCTTAAGAGATGTCCGCACTCTAGTTGGAGCTGGTCGAGATGCTCCAGACACTCGGTTCATCCCAGTGAAGCCAAACTCTCCTTTGTACTTGAATGCACTTTGATCTCCACTTCTGAGTGTCTTTTTACTTTTTGGACCCATGTGTTTTGAAGACCTATCCCCATTCTCTCCTGGTCCATGACTGGTGATTTGTTGCTGGTTCTGGTTAAAGCCAACATGCTTCCTCTTGGGCACAAATTGTAGCGCCTCCTGCCATTTCCCTGTTTCTTTCATGCTCAACATGATGCGTATCATCTGGTCCAGGGTCAGGTTTTTGGCTCCCATCTCCCAGTGGAGGAACTCGTCCAGCGGTAAACGGGCTGTGGCCAATTTCAGACGCTTTGCGTTGGCCAGTGACAAGCCGGAAAGAATCGACCGGTCCACGAGAGCGCCGATGATGTAGACTTTGGAGTGGTCGAAGGTGCGGAGAACATTGGGGGAGTCTGCAGTGAGGTAAACAAGGCGATCGCGAGGAAACACGTCAACAGCGTGAGCCTCTGTGTTGGTGATGAGCAGACGGTCCCAGGTTTCAGCTCCATAGCGCTTGAGGAACTCCTTCATGTAGGCTCCATCTGGTTGTAGGTTACAAAAATGGAGATGGTAAGGCTCCTTGGCACGTCTGTTCCATCCTTCCACCTCCATCAGTTGGGACACTGTGTTTTCAATCTCCCGTCTGGACATATTGGACTCGTAGCTCATGTCAAGGACCAAAGGCTGGTCAAACAACATGGCCTGGATGCTCCTCCAGGCCAGCAGTCGGTCCATGTTGCGATCCCAGAACTGGAGTAGAAAAGTATTTCTAACTTCTTTCTGATCCCCATCTGTGTTTTGATCTCTCTTCTGCTCCAGCGATGCTTCCCTCTCCGCTTTCTTGAGTTGCTGCTTGTCCTTGCGTGCTCTTTTATGGATTTCCCTCAATGCCAGATACTTGAGGTACTTTTTTCGAGCTGACTTAGTGGTGAGCTCGGCAAAGATCTTCAACTCCTCATCAGAAATTTCTTGAGGTACCAGTTTACCAGCCAGCCGCCACATTGCAACCAGCTCCCGAGCTGCCTCCAAACTTGAACTTCCTTGTGGGACTTCATCCTCGCCACGTGTTTCATCATCCTCAGCATCATTTTGCTCAGCGGATGGAGATTGGGATTTCATGACGGATTTCCATTTGTCTAAATCGACAGTCTCCTTTTTGTGTGGACTCCCACTACTTAAGAGGCGACTTGGGAGACAGGGAGAATTGACTGGCGAAGCCCCGATCGCTTGCGTTTTGTTGACACGGTATAACGCAATCCTGCCAACTTGCCATAGTTCATTTGAATGCCGCTGAGTGAAGAGTCGTCGTAACATTTCAAACCTGTTGGTATAATGCGGATGTAGAGCTGGCAGCGGCAACACATGCAGCAAACCTTATTTGCACGAGTTGGGATGCTCCCCAGATCATTAAAGTACAAAATCCCATTGCGCCATTGGTATTACAGTCAATGGGTTGATTGATTATTTTGCGGGATACGCTCGGTAATGGTGTGGAGGTCACGTTATTTTTGCAGTGTAACGTTTTAAGATGTCGTACTGAAATGGCGAAGCGAGATGTTTTGTTGAATTTTGCGCCGCTTGAATATAATGTTTTGTTTAATTTCGCATCACTTAAATACAATAATAAATGTCTACAAATTTCCATTTTTGTATTTGCTATTACATACATTTTCGAAAAAGATAGCTATTTTTCGACTTGATGAATCAAGGCAATATATTTTCCCGCCGGTACACTCCCAGTGTTACACTCGTGACGACTTCCTCAGGAAGCAAAACACTTTTGCCGATCCTGAAAATGAGCTTATTTTTACCAAAATTGGTCTGCAAAAAAGATATAGACGACGTGATCAAGACAGTAGCAGAAAAGGTGGTAGTTTTGAGATTTGGGAGGGATGAAGACTCAGTTTGTCTCCAGCTCGACGAAATTGTAAATAATGCTCTATTATCTTGGTTGTTCACTATTTCTTGCCTGCCGACTAATCGCTGATTGTGTTCTTTTGTAGCTGTCAAAAACGGCACATGACCTGAGTAACATGGCCTCTATCTACATAGTCGATGTGGAGAAAGCCCCCGTTTACACCAGATATTTTGATATCAGCTACATCCCATCAACTGTGTTCTTTTTCAATGGACAGCACATGAAAGTCGACTATGGGTGAGACACTTTTGTTAAATGATAAATAAACATTGTGCCCATGAAGCTTGGTGCAAGTATGTAAAACTGACACCCAGGTTAAAGGTGTGCATGTATGCATTTAATTTCACTACTAGTAACTATCCAATTGGCCATCCGGTCGTCATGCTCCACGAACCAGGGTGTACTCTCATAATAATAATAAACATATGGTTTGATTCATATGTTATGGATTCTAATAACAGCATGGCTTACACAACAAAGCCTGATGAGTTTACATCAGTAGAGAAGCTAGGAGAAGTACAGATAAAAAAGTCACATCCTACAAAAAAAAATAACACAGAAAGATGTTTGTGCTTCCCTTCAGCTCACCAGATCACACCAAGTTTGTTGGCAGCTTCAAAACCAAACAGGATTTCATGGATCTTATTGAGGTCATATACAGAGGAGCCATGCGGGGGAAAATGATTGTCCAGAGTCCCATCGACCCAAAAAATATTCCCAAATATGACCTCTTGTACCATGGGATTTGAAATCAACAGCTACTCTGTGTAAGACCTTTCAACCACCGTTATGTTTTCGCTCTTAGCTAAAAGGTGCTGGTGGTAATTGTTATAGCTTGAGCGAGACCTATGTATTGATTCTTTTTTTGAAATAGGAAACAAGGAAACTTATATTTTAGAAGTGCCATCAATCAAACTGATGCGGCGGGATGTCTGAAACTTTATACTGCACTATATATGCATGTTTTGATCATATTCAGTGTTGTGATGTTTCCTATGGAAAACAGTGAGGTTTTGTGTGAAACTTGTATTAATACAAATGTTATCATTTTACAATAAAGTTTCTTTCCTGTCAAAAAGTCTATCTTAGTGTGTTGCGGGATAGGGACAACTAGAGAGAAATTTACCAACGGAATTTATGGATTTAGTGGTAACTTGTGGCTCTGTATGGTACAATTACTCACTGCATTTGTCTTTGTCGAACTTATAATGTTCGACAAAGACACTTTCCGGTGAAACATAAAGTGTAACTAAAGCAAGTTGAATAAGTAAGAAATTTATTCAGTGAAATCCAAACAACAGAAATTCTCATTCACTGGTCAATTCGCCAATGCCCACCACAATGCAAATGAAAGAATCACATGTAAACAGAGAATTTGGCAAAAAAGCTTTACTTTTAAATTTTGGTAGAAAAGTAATAAAGTACATGAGTACAGTAACGTCACCAAATTGTGTTTTGTTTTGTTTTACTGTCTGGGCCCATCAACAAGCGTTCTTCGGCGCTTTCTTCACACTCCTCCTCGACAGGTGGCGCTAGCAAAACACGGAACTACACGAGAAAGAGGGCGGAAGTGACGAAGGCAACCAGCGTCTGCGCACGACCTTGTGCAACGCAGAGTGTAGAATAATAAAAATAAGTCACTTAAAATGTTACTGCGGTGGCACTGAGTTGTGGTGTTTTAATTGTTATAGTCGTCTGTCAGGATTCAGAAGATGATCTCGCTCGTCAAGGCTGCTGTGGGTGGCGTGGCCGCCGTCTGCGCCCACGGTCACCAAAACGGTAACGAAATCATTTCTGTTGTATCATTTTACGTTTATTTCACGCGTCCCAATTTCATCGTGGGATAATTTATAATTTTTGCTTTTCGGTTTCTTTTTCTTTTTGGGGGGGGTGGATATTAAATGTCTTCACATGTGCACACAAAAAAAGCAACTCAACATTGAATCTTGTGATAATCATGTATAATGGCGCATTTATCAACACTTCCAGATGTTTGTTTTTAAAAATGCCAAAGTGATTCTTAAGTTGTATTCAATACACGCCTGCAGCGTTCTTGGTTTCCGAACAGGATGGCTATGTTTTGCGCTGCATGTGGCGAAACTCATGCCAATATCTGTTCCTACAGGTTTTCTGCACAATCACTTAAGAGTTCTAACTGCTGGCCTGAAGACATTTGAAATTCCACCTGACTACAGTGGTAACTGTTCCTCTTTGAACCCACACACCATGCTCCATGTATTACCCGAAGAATCTTGCCCGCATAATAACACAACGTGCCAGTGCGTTTTGTGACAGTTCTTTTGTTTTTGTTTTATTAAAGATGTGGTGTTGCCAGACAAACCCAAACTGAAGTTTATGAACAAGGTGCCCAATTTAAAAAAAGCCAAGAAGGAAATGAAGAAGCTACGGGACATTCAAGGCCCAGCTCGGGCAGCAAATACCTTCACAACTGGAAAGTATGCAATCGTGGTAAGGTCATACAGGGCGATATATTGTACGCTGGTCGAAATTAAATAATTTATATTAACATTTAACTCCCATCTGATGCTCAGGCAATGGGCGGAGGCTACCTCCACTGGGGTCACATGGAGATGATTCGTCTCACCATCAACCGCAAGATGGATTCCCGTACTACGTTTGCTCGCTGGCGCATCAATGCCCCTTACAAGCCAATCACACGCAAAGGGCTGGGTCAGCGCATGGGTGGTGGCAAGGGAGCCATCGACCACTATGTGACGCCGGTCCGTTTTGGTCGCATCATTGTGGAAGTGGGAGGAAAGGTGGAGTTCGCGGAAGTGCAGCATATTTTGACTGAAGTGGCGAAGAAACTTCCTTTCCCTGCAGATGTGAGACTACAAACGTTGTACACTCACCAGACTAGGAGAGCTGTAACTGTTCACTCTATTAATTATTACAATACTGTGCCTCCAACAGGTGATGAGTAGAGAAAGCCTGGAAGCCTTTCATCAGAATCAGGCCAATATGGAGGAGAACAACCAGAACCCGTGGACCTTCAAGCAGATTGTCCAAGGAAACATGCTTGGTATCAGGAAGGTCCTCAGCCCCTTTGACCTAAAACATCAGGGACGCTTCACAGGCAAATTTTACAACCCAGGAAGGGTATGACAGATTCACAAAGACGGACCAATCATGACAATGTGTGTCCTTCGCTTCAATGAGAAGAACCTCGACTTCCAAAGACTTTGGCTTTTTGAAATACACATAACTCCTTTTTGTATTATGTATTTTCATTTGTGCGTGTGTTCATTTGCGTTGTCCTCCTATCCTGTAAAACTCCTTTGATTTATTATCATCAATAAAACCAGTCAGTTGAGGTGAAATAAACATTTTGACTCAATTGCATACACAAGCGTATCTTGGCACAGGCTTTATCACAGTATTTATCGAGTAGCATGTCCTGAAACTTTTTAATTGTGCAATACGTGCAATAGTATGTAATACGGGTTAAAATAATTCCCAGCAGTTATCCCACAATTGGAATGTGTATACTTACAGTCAGATAACAATTTTAATCCAAGTAAATATCTTTATTCCAAAAAAATGTCATCAATTGGCAAGCCTTGATCTAAAGTGAGCTGGTGGTACGCGGACTCCCTCTAGTGGGACAGTATAGTATGCACGGTTCTTTTTTTTTAAGGTCAGTGTTATGTTTAAGCACTGTATAATGTTACAGTAGCTTACAAGAATCTTATATGAAACTTTTTTTTTTAGGAATGTAACGTGTTTTTTTTAAACAGGCCAACAAAGGTCTTCTATTTCATGTTGGCCATGAAATATATTTTGTATGCCCCAAATCTTGACTCACAGGTAGCGATACAACTCCGTCTCCTTTGTAAGGGACCATAATGGTACGATCTCGAGTGACTTGGTTGCAAAGTTAAGTAACACAGGGAATCTAAAGGGAATTGCATGTTTTGTGTCGATAATAACGATAAAGGCGTGTTGGCTAGAAAGCGACATGTACCTGAGAAGATAGTGTGAGGGGGGTGATAGATTAATATACGCATGCGCATTTGTATATCAATGGATAAAACCTGGCGGGGAAAATGGTGTGCTGTAAATAAACGCCCACGACATTTTGAATGTTGTGAATAATCAAACGGTTTATTGTGATTTGTAACGCTACAAGTGACCCTATATTTGGAACTATTAGGGACATAATCGCTAATAGAAATGAAGCCTTTGCGTGGTTCTCATCGGGAAGCATCAAAAATACCCCGCTTGAAAAACAAGTCTAAAAAGAAGACTCACCCAGTAACCGATCACCCGGTAAGACAAAAGTAACGTTTCTGATTCATGTCATGTCGACACCGGCTGTCGCTTCTCTGACAGCCTTATTATATTTCGCTTTAGGATTCGCCGCCCGCTGACGACAACAATGGCGCGACCGAAAGACGCAGCTCGACAAAAAAAAGAAAAGGTCTGAATATCGTGTTCTTGATGCACTGTAGGCACGAATGTACACAGTTTCAAGTGATTACTTCTACAACAGTCCTAGAAAATCACAATGTCCCATCACCAATGACTTATTTGGTCATTGAGAGCTACAGCATGTTACAGTCTTGTGAGTGCGTCTTACGTGCTTGTCTTGTCTCCTTCTTGCATCTTCTGGACAGCTTCCGAAACTGCCCCCAAAGTCAAAGTTTCGAAAAACCTCAAGCAGATCCAGAGATCCTCCATCATTGCACTGGAGAATGTGATGAATATAGCAATATTGTGAGTTTGGCTCTGTTTTGGGGCAACTTTACAGTTGTACAGGGTGTCCCGTAAGTTTCCATACATATTGTTTGAAACATTTTCAAGTTCACCCCTAATCCACATACCCGCCGATCCACAGCACCCCACCCCGGCGACATTTTTTCAGGGCTTGTCCTTCAAACATCATAGGCATCTTGAAAAGGGGATCCTGCTGTGATCGACCGCCATAAAGTTAGGGAAAGTTAAGCTTGCACAATGACTCTAGTTGTAGCTTGGTACTACTGTCAAGTATATTAGAGAAATAAAAATGGTTTGAAGGGAAAAAAAAAATTCTTCTGTATGGAAACTTTTTGGACACCCTAAATAAGAAAATGTAAGTGCAATGAGACTCTTTACATTATTTTCAGGACAACTCTTGGTTTGAGACGAAAAGAGAAGAAGGAGAGCCAGGAACATCTAAATATTGTGAAAAAAAGGTGAGCCATACTTTGGTAAGATTTGTACAAACCCTCTCAAGCTATGTGGGATAAGCAGAAAAATCGTTCAGGAATTACCTTAAAATAATACATTCCTGCCAATTAATTGGGTCAGAAGCGAGTCACTGTCATGACTCCATCAAGGCCAGGTTTGACATGACATCCCTTTTTTAGGTTCTTAATTCACTGTGCAGAGCTTCAAGTTCCAGTGCAGAAGCACGACGAGTTAGGGCATTCGTGGCAGCGCCGCCACCGGGAGGAGAGCAGGAAGCATGAGGCTGGAAAGCAAACTCTGACTTCCCTGGAGGTGAGCGTTTCCGACGGCGCTTCAGATCTCACTGCTTTCGGTGTCCAAGCTGTCGGCTGCTCATGCCATGAAGTTGATCGATGTCACAAATACAATCTTATCAGATGCGTATATTTGGAAGACACACTCATTTGCCATGTGCGCTTGTGCCAGCCTGAAATATTTTGTGTTTCTAGGAAGACCTGAAGGCAGTGGTCAGCGCGCTGGAGAGCACCGAAGAGCAGAAGTCTTCTTTGGAGCATGCATGCAGTTTTCTTCGAGAACAACTGGAAGAGGAGGAGGAGAAGGCTAAGGAGGTGAAAGACATCAAGTTACATATTCTGAAATTACGGAGCGAAAACAAACCCAACTCAAGTGAAAAGTTAAAAGATACTGAGGGAATGGGCAAAATGGCCCAAAGATAAGCACGGCGTCACATTCAAACACATCTGAAGCTGTAATTGCAGCCAAAGGTACATCAAGAAAGTGGTGAGCAGAGGCTATGAATACTTTTCGCCGTGTACAGTGATCTGGCATAGCAAATGTGAATAAAGGATCTGCGGAGAGATGGGCGGCGTTGTGCCGCCGTGTATGACGCTTGGTCTCGTCCTGTCAGATCTTGCAGAGAAGCGAGCAAGCGGTCCTCGCCCTCCCTTCTCACCCGCCTCGGACAGAAGAAACGACCTTAGAGGTAAGCATGAATGGCGCACACTTTTGAAATCGTATAAATGTGTTTCACAAGGACCCGTTGCATCATAGCTGTTTTCATTGTTAAACCACTCGCTCTCCAGAAAAATGCGGTTAAAATGGCTGAGTTGCATTTCCTTCCTAGAGGAAGTTCTAAATTGCACTGATGGAGTAACGTGCTAAGACTATTGGGTAAAAGCCACTTCTGCCACTTGAAAAACAAAACAAAACAAAACAGGCTCAAAAATACTTCGTCAGTGCTTTCAAATGTTTATTTTTCCTCAGGCTCTTTTGAGAAAACAGGTCCCAGACAAAGATTGTGAGACCGTCTCGCGCGAGCTGGAAGAAATCTTGCAGAAGTCAGAAACAGAAAAAAAAAAATGCCATGCACCCAACTTACACAAGCACATCAACAACATGTAGACCAGCTTTTGTCAATTTGAATTGTTCACTGTTGCTTCTTGTTGATACCGTGTTTTTTTTTTTTTAAAGAAAGTCTCAAGATGTGTACAGAAGTGTGATGTAGCATTGCAGATGTATTTTGGAATAGCTGCAGTAATTGTGTACTCGGAGACACTTTTTTACAAATGACGTGTAGAATTCTACAAAGTCTACATTTGCACAAATAAAAGTATTCCCACACCAAATATTGAGAAGCTCCCAATCCTTTACTCTTTAGCACATTATATTATGTGCCACATCTCCACATTTTTACACATCAACTCCATTTGTCCAGGGTGGATGTTTTATGTGTTTATGTGTGGAAGTTTTGTCTGATTGATCCAGAAGACCGTCTGTGAGGTCAGACGTTACCGATGTTGACTCACAATATTAAGTTCAGTTCACCAAATATTGAGAAGCTCCCAATCCTTTACTCTTCAGGACATTATATTACGTGCCACATCTCCATTTTTATACATGTTTCATGTGTTTATGTGTGGAAGTTTTGTCTGATTGATCCAGAAGACCGTCTGTGAGGTCAGACGTTATTGATTTTGACTCACAATATTAAGTTCAGTTCACCCCAAAGTTGTTTTGAGGGCAGGACTCTCAATTTCATCCGCAGCACACTCATCAAACCGTGGTTTGCGGAACTTGATTGTCATGCTGCAACACAAAAGAGTCTTCCCACCAAGTTGGAAAAATATGGTGATGAAACAGATTCAGGGGGAATCAACATGGCAGTCAATCAATGGCAAGATGTGTCCCAACACTAGCATCCAGCATCTATACGGTCTAATTCAGAGATGGGCAACCCGCAGCCACACTCTGATATGTGATAGCAAGCATAGTCGCTCAACAATATGAAAACGTTGAGTTTATTTTTGTGGAAAACCCCCAAAACAAAATCCGGTCAATCAATGGCAAGATGTGTCCCAACACTAGCATCCAGCATCTATACGGTCTAATTCAGAGATGGGCAACCCGCAGCCACACTCTGATATTATGTGATAGCAAGCATAGTCGCTCAATACGAAAACATTGAGTTTATTTTTGTGGTAAACCCCCAAAACAAAATCCGTTCGCACTTAATGTTGGTTTCTTGTTCAGCAGTTTTGTGCCGTCCTTGAATGGCAACTTTTATTCAAGGGACCACTTTGCACTGGAAAAAAAAAACCCGACAGTCTTTGCTTATTTTATTCTGTTGTTTGCTTGGTTAAGATAGTGGAGCTTTATGCGTGCATTAAAAACGTACGGTCAAAAATGAAATATATCAGGAGCACGTATTTTGTATGTGTGCACATCTTTTCTCCATATTCAAATTAGCATTTTTATCTCACGCGCGCGACGCGCTGTGTCGCCCCCCCCCCCCCAGTAGCACTGATGAAAAATTGTTCTTCCCTCCATTGAAGTTGCCCCCATCCCTGCTCAAGTTTATGTCAAAACAGGAGGCCTTCTAATGAAAGGAAATAGATTCTATTTTTATGTGCAGCAAAGAAGAAAAACTTACCAAGCTTGTCTCCCCCCCCCCAGTAAATGACAATGAATGTGATCTTTGTAAACAGTAGTGCAATTATCAACAAGACCGACCTCACCTAAATGCGTCTCGGTCCCCACTCGAACCTTTTAACGTGAATAGAATTGAGCCAGATGCTGAGAAACAGTCAATATCACATTGCGACTGGATCGATTCCGATCAATGAAACAAATAGTGTGAGTTGCGTTTGCTTTGAGTCCGCTTGCTAAATCTGCGAGTTTTTGAGTGATCTTTTGCGAATGGACTCTGTGGAGTCATCGTTAAAGAGTCGTTCGATGGTGGAGGTGACCGAAGCTCGGACGGCACGGCCGAGGCCTCGGGCGGCGAATACGTAGAGGACGGGGTTGAGGGCGCTCTTGGTGTACACGAGGTACAGAGAGATGTACGTTCCGTAAGACGCGCTCTTATAAAGTGCGGCCGCATCCGGTCGTCCTTCGGCCAGGGCCCGCAGGAATCGGCACACAAAGTAGGGCACCCAGCATATGAGAAAGAGCAGCATGGTCAAAAAGAGCACCTGGTACATCCTGGACATCCTGCGTGAAGCCGACGGGGACGAAACGGTTGGGCTAACGGGCACGGATTGCCGAATCGTCAGCAAGATGGCCAAATTGCTTCCCAAAAACACCAGCAGGGGCAAGATGAAACCCGCTACCGTCTCGGTGACGAACAGCCCCGGGTCAA